CTGAAAGCCTAGCCACTATGGACTCCACCGTTACCTCTATCGAGCTCTCTGCTCCATCCGCTACCATGCTTCGCTCTAATTACGCCCTCCGAACAACCAACACTAGCGGAAATCGGGCTGTATACGGATCGGAGACTCAGATGGATGGCACTGGACCCAGAGATCGAAAACGAATGAAAACCTCCTCTTCTTCATCCTCTTCCAGAGGCGGATCTGGTGGAGTAATCGGACGGGCTGCGCCGTCTATGTCTTCCACATGCGGCAGCGAAGTATCGTCCGCGATGCCGGTCGTGATGGTGGACACTCAGGAGGTTGGAATCCGTCTGGTTCACGCACTTATGGCTTGCGCGGAAGCTGTGCAGCAAGAGAATTACAAGGCATCAGACGTTTTAGTCAAACAGATCTCGATGCTCGCCTCATCCCAAGGCGGCGCTATGCGGAAGGTCGCCGGATACTTCGCCCAGGCCCTCGCTCGCCGGATCTACCGCCTCAATCCACAGCAAGACTGCTCTCTGGACTCAGCTTTCTCCGACATCCTCCAGATGCACTTTTACGAGAGCTGCCCTTACCTAAAGTTCGCCCATTTTACCGCCAATCAAGCCATTCTAGAGGCCTTCGCAGGCCATCGTGCCGCAGGGTTCACGTCATTGATTTTAGCATGAAGCAGGGGATGCAATGGCCGGCACTGCTGCAGGCTCTCGCCCTTCGACCTGGCGGTCCTCCCTCTTTCCGCCTCACCGGAATTGGTCTTCCCCAACCGGATAACACCGACGCCCTGCAACAAGTCGGTTGGAAGCTCGCTCAGCTCGCAGACACCATCCACGTTGACTTCGAATACCGCGGGTTTGTCGCAAACAGCCTCGCCGACCTCGAACCTTACATGCTCGAGTCCCCACCTTCTGCCAACATCACCTCCGACGAACCTGAAGTCGTGGCTGTCAACTCGGTCTTCGAGCTCCACCGTCTGCTGGCTAAGCCTGCGTCCTTGGAAAAGGTCCTTGCTACAGTCCTCGCAGTGAAGCCGCGGATTGTGACCATCGTAGAGCAGGAAGCGAACCACAACACTGGTACGTTCATGGAGCGTTTTACCGAGGCACTGCATTTCTATTCCACGATGTTCGATTCACTGGAGGCCGGCGGCTTCGCCGAAGGTCATCAGGATCAGGTTATGTCCGAAGTATATCTCGGAAGGCAGATCTGCAACGTGGTGGCTTGCGAGGGGGCGGAGCGGACGGAGCGCCATGAAACACTTTCTCATTGGCGGGGAAGGATGGAAGGCGCTGGTTTTGAGCCCGTCCACCTCGGCTCTAACGCCTTTAAGCAGGCGAGCATGCTTCTTGCCCTCTTCACCGGCGGCGAAGGATACCGAGTGGAGGAGAAAGAAGGTTGCCTCACCCTCGGGTGGCATACTCGTCCCCTCATCGCCACGTCGGCTTGGGGG